TCAAGGTTTAACAACAGTCCACTAGATGGTCAAGGTTTAACAACAGTCCACTAGATGGTCAAGGTTTAACAACAGTCCACTAGATGGTCAAGGTTTAACAACAGTTCACTAGATGGTCAAGGTTTAACAACAGTTCACTAGAAGGTCAAGGTTTGGCAATAGTCCACTAGAAGGTCAAGGTTTAACAACAGTTCACTAGAAGGTCAAGGTTTGGCAATAGTCCACTAGAAGGTCAAGGTTTTACAACAGTTTACAAGAAGGTAACGGTTTTACAACAGTCCATTAGAAAGTAACGGTTTTACAACAGTCCACTAGAAAGTAACGGTTTTACAACAGTCCACTTGAAAGTAACGGTTCTACAACAGTCCATTAGAAGGTCAAGGTTTAACAACAGAGAACGTTGTGGATTATCACAAGTCAGAGAGTCTATAGTATTTGGAATTAGTGTTATACATAATGTATATTATCTGTGTATATAATATACATAGTTGTTTTACATTACACATAGAGCATACAAATGAGAATATAGTATATCTCATGCATGTGGTTAAATCGAGTACACTAATATACATTTACGATATACAGTAATATTATTACCAATTTTTTTGTTCACACAGACCAGTAGTTACTGTCAATATACATGTACGATATACAGTACTATTATTACTATTTTTTACAGAGACCAGTAGTTACTGTCAATATACATGTACGATATACAGTAATGTTGTTATTATATCATTTATACAGAGACTAGCAGTTACTGTAACAACTGTGCAAGCCCCTGTACTCACTTTGTCTCCGAGATGTATCTGGGCTCAGGTTCTACGCCTTCTGTCGGAGCTCCAGCTCTGTGGAGGAGAAAAAATGTAAGATACATTATAACTCAATGTCTCTTCTCAACAATGTCACAACACGCCACAGCATGTCTCCATGAACAGACTCCGCAGTGTTGGAGGTTCAGATTTGGACAAGGTGTCTCCTCGGAAGATAAATAATAAATAAATGAGCTGTTCTGACTCCAGTTTGATTGACATCTCAGTTCTACTGGTACAGGCTCTTTGATGACTCGTGTGCTACGCTAAACAAAAATTTGATTAAACGATGAACCGAAAAAAAATTATAAGTTTAAGTTATATTACGAAATACATTAATGGCTCAGGTGAAAGACAGGGTAGTTCCATATATTTTAAAGTTAGGGAACTGGCCCTTAATTTACAACAGTAGCTGTAGAATATCTCTAGGAAATTGTTCAAAGTGTCAAATCAGGAACGTCATTCACAAACTGTAGTTTGATCAAAGCAAACTAAACCAAGAACAAGCGAGCAAATTGCTCCATAAAAAGTTGAGAAGTGTAATATCGTCTTGAAAAGACTAATGTAGTTTAGCCTGTGTTCACTTAACCCCTTCAGATATGTGAAGATAAAAGGAACAACAGTTGAGGAACAGAAACACTTTATGTGTGTATAGGTATTTGAGTTGACTCCTCAGCAAAATATCAATTTGAACACTTTTTGGGGCTATAGGAAAATGTACTATAACGTCTTATCTTAACAATCGACATAATATTATCATTGATAACACTCCGTAACACTTTGAAATAATGGAACACTCTCTGGAAAAAAAATCAAACGTGTTTTAAATCAATACAAACATTGCAAGAAACATAAAATTGGGAAAATGCAAACTGCATGCGACATTTAAATGCGACAATCGGTGAAAACATTCGGTCAGAGAGCACACAAACATAAAAGGGCAAAGTTCATTGCATAAATAATGTAAAAACAACATCGTTTTCAAAACCAGAACATCATTAGCAAAAATACAACACAAGCGTCAACATCTGGCACTGGCGCGTTAGTTCTGGTTCTCTCAGCGAACAGTCATAGAGCAACACAAGATTTTGAAAAATACAAGTGTGGTTTCTTTCAGGTTCCCAGTCTTGAGTGAACACCCAGGCTTCACACTCACGCATGAGTCACAAAAACCCATGCCTCGCACACAAGATGTGACCCATGTCTTCCCAGTGAAATGGATCAGATTCCGTCCCGCAGATTCATTAAGGGGACCACACGATGATCTCTTCTTTACTGAGCGGTGATAACAACAACATGCACCCGAGAAGGAATAAAAGTACCAGACAGACAATATGTCTTTGGGCTGCAGTAAGAGATCACAGACTCAGGAACACACCGGCTTACAAGGCCACGTATCGTGATGCTAACAATAGTTAGTGCGTCAATCTTTGACAATGAACAATGAATCTTATCTGCAGAGGAGAATAATTCTTAGCGAAATAGGAGAAATCTGGCTTCTGCCACGACCGAAGAAACCAGTTCTGGCAGAGAAGTGTTTGCCACATTTTGAGCATTTCAAAGCTTCCTCTCCACTTGTGGATGTGTGCATCTGCTACAACAAACAAGAATTGGGTCGCTTTTAAGGACAAGCGGGCTAACCCAGATTTCGGGGGGTTTCCAGAAATCTTAACCAACACCAAAAGTGGGCATTGCCCTACCTATAGGAGAAGTTTGGTTTTATTGGTGTGTATATTTGTTTGGTTATTGAGAAAACCGTCCTGCTTTTTTTTGTTTTTTTAAAGAAACTGAACAAGGGTCAAAAACTGTACATTCGATTTTCTCAAAACAGCATTTTTCGGGAAAGCCCCCTTGTGCTTAAAAGCGACCAATTAAAACAACCGTCCATTCTGGGTTACAACGACACGGACATGCAAGGTAGGTGGCTGGCGGAGACACACAGACAGACAACCACGGGATGGCACATCCAGGTCAGCAGATGTAAACATTACATTAAAACGTGTAGGTCACTGCTGCAGGAGGCAAGTCACACACGTTATTTACTTTGAAACATGCAAGTCACACGGGCAGACTTTCGGTTTCCAATTCGACATGTGAATCACTATCACACATGTAAACTTCTGGTTTCTATGACGACATGCGAATCACACACGTGGACTCCCGGTTTCCATAGAGACAGGCAAATTACATGTACACACGTTGACTTCCGTTTCCATAGAAACATGCAAATTACACACGTTGACTTCCGGTTTCCATAGAAACATGCAAATTACACCCGTTGACTTCCGGTTTCCATAGAGACATGCAAATTACACAAGTTGACTTTCTCCAGTTTCCAGTGAGACATGCCAGTCACAATGTTAACTTCTGATTTCTACAGCCACATGGGAGTCACACGTGTCAATTTTCGGTTTCCATAGGAACATGCGCGTCACACATGTCAACTTCCTGTTTTCTATGACAACATGCCAAACGAGTCACACATGTTAATTTTCAGTTTCCATAGCAACATGCGCGTCAGACGACAGTTGTCCGCGCACCTGGGCAGGTCTGTCTCGTCCAGCAGACGTAGGTAGCCTCGCTCTGAGTCCGAGGCGTAGCTGATGAGTTGTACGGGA